CCCAGCAAGGTAGTGCCTAAAATACTTCTACAATAAGATCCCTACATAATTTCATGTTTTCAACTATATGTCTATCCTTAGCTTAATTGTCCATTGAAGTCAATATAATACTCTTTTCTAAAAATATTAAAACTTTAAGTTTTGAGCTATCACATATGTACTATAGAATGCCTAAATCACAAATATACAACTAAATAATTGTACTGTGACTACTCATCCACCACTACTTAGATCAGGAACAGATAGTTGCCAGCATTCTAAAAGCCCTAATGGCCTTTTCCAAATTATAACCACCTTTCCTTCCCCAAAAGTCATGACTATTTTGATTTCTATGGCAAATACTTCCTTCCTTTTTTGTATAGTTTTATCCCAAAGTGTGTCCTCAAGAGTACAGTTTAATGTAGCCTGTTTTTGAACATTATAGAAATTGAACTAAACAGAATGTATCTTTTGTGTCTCTTTTAAGATATACCTGTTGTTGCCTATAACAATAGTTTGCCAATTCATTATTGAAATAAATCTATTCACTTATTATTATTGCTATATTTTATATAATAAGAGATTTAAATTGCTGACATTTTCTTTAGAATTTTTATATCTCGTTCATGAGAGTACATGAGTCTGGTCTCAATATTTCCCTTTCCTTGATGAGTTTTGGTATCAAAGTTCTGCTATCAAAAAGAGTTAACAGGTCTTTGCTGTTCTCTTGAAGACTCTGTATAATGTCTTTTAAAAATTTGTTAGAATCAGCCAGTGAAACCATTCATGCTGGGTGTTTTGGTTTGGCTTGTTTTGGCTTTGTGTGGGAAGGAGGGAGCAGGGAATTTCAAAATTCAAATTTTAATTTATTTAATAGTTACATGACAATTCAAAAGCAGGTTTCTATTATCAGTTTGACAAATTGCGGTTTTCTAGAAATTTGTGTATTTCATCTAACTTTTCTAATTTATTGGTATGAATCTGTTTATAATATCTTATCTTTTTAATTCTGCAAGATCAGTAGTAATGTCCGCTTTTGTTCATTTCTGATTTTGGTTATTTGTGCCTTCTTTACTTTTTTTGAACTACTTCTCATGAAGTTGTCAGTTTTAGTATTTTCAAAATAAGTTTTGACTTTGTTGATCTATTGTATGCTTGTTTTTATGTCTCATCAAATTGACATATACATCTTTGTTACTTTCTCTTTTCTACCTTTGCATTTATTTTTGCTGTTTTCTCGTTTCTGATTTATCTAATGTATACGCAATCATATATTTCTAATGACTGTTTTAGCTGGCTACAAGTTTTAATGTGCATTGTTTTTCTTTTCATTCAGTTAAAGCACTTTTGATCTTGATTATGATTTCTTCTTTGACCTATGGGTTATTTCTTTTCTTTTCTTTCTTTCTTTCTTTTTTTTTTTTTTTTTTTGCAGTACTGGGGTTTGAACTCAGGGCCTCACACTTGGTAGGCAGATGCTCTACCACTTGAGCCACTCCACCAGCCCTCCTTTATTTCTGGACATACAGGATATATAGATATATTTTCATTTAATGGTTTCAAGTTTAATTTTATTATGGACAGTACATGGTTTATATGATTTCAGAATTTGTGAAATTTGCTTTTTACATGTACATTCTTTGTTGCTCTTATATCAGGTTTGTGTTAATCTTACTGCTCAAATCCTCTGTACCTAACTTACATCCTTTGTCCATATGTTCTATTACTGAAAGGTGCTAAATAAAACCTTTCATTATGATTGTGCATTTGTTTAAATTTGTAGTTGTTTTAGCACTTGCGTTTTATATGTATATATAAAATGCAATATATATATATTGTGGCTATGTTATTAGGTATATTCAAATTTAGAATTATATATCCCTAGTAAGGATATTATTATAAAGTGATGCTCTATTTCTAGTGATGTTTGACTTTAAAGTCTACTTTGTGTGATATTAATATTGCTATAGCACGTTTTCTTTAGGGGGCATTGTTTGGGTTTATATGGCTTATTTTTTTCGTTCTATCTGATTTTAGAGAGATTCTATAGCTTCACTGTGGTAGATCTTCATCGCGTACAACTGCTGAGCACTTAACATGTGGCTAATTTGAATTAAGACGTGCTCTGGATATAAAATATACATCTAGTTTCTAAGACCCATTACAAATAAAAGAAAAGATTTAATTAAAATTTTTTGTATTGATTGCATGTTGAACTAATGTTTTGGATACCGTGGGGTAAATAAAATATATTACCAAAATTAACTTCACCTGTTTTTTTTCTTCTTAATCTAAGTATTGAAAAATTACATATATGGCTTGCATTTGTGGTTTGCTTTATAGTTTTTGTTGGATAATGTTGTCATAAAATTGTTAAGAATGCAAGATCTGTGGCCTGGATTTAATTTCTGCATGTATCATTTACTAGTGGTGAAATGGTAGGCTACATTTTTTACTTCTTGCTTTGATTTTCTCTTTTGTAAGATGAGAATAATAGTAATATCCTTTCAACGATATATTGTGAAGGTAAGACAAGATAAAAGAGGTACAGCACTTAGCACAATGGATTAAGTGTTGGTAAAAATTTAGCCATTGTTTATTTTTTTGTTATTATAATCAGATTTTCTACTACTTCAGTGGACATTGCCTTTCTTTCCCTAAAAGTTTTCCCTTTACCACCATAGCAATACAGTTCTTGCCTAGATATTATAATTTGAGTGGGGCAAAGACATATGTATAAATTCTTTAAAAGGCAACGAAGGGGCTGGGGATATAACTTAGTGGTTAAGTGTTTGCTTAGCATGAATGAGGTCCTGTATTCGATCCCCAGCACTGCAAATAATTTAAGTAAATAAATAAAATAATATGTCATAGACAAATGCTCATTAGATTTGTCTGTAGAAAAATGTTAATACTTCTTCAAAATAGTATTGCCTAAAATATCACTATAGACTTTGTGCATAACCAGGCTTCACAACTGCAATCCAGAAAGGAGCTTCATAGCCAAAAAATGGTGGTGTCTTGGAAACAATATTATTCTGGGACTTGAGACCTGGGCTGTAGGCCTAATTCTGCCATTTTGTTTGTCTGGATGTGTTTCCTTATTGTGAAATCATCAGATTAGACTAGATGATAATAACCTTAATGTCCCCTTAAGGTTAGTTTAGTCTGATGATTAAGCCTCTGCACTTTTTATATTAATGCCTATGTATTATATATTTTGAACCTATAGTCCATTTATCCTGAGGTTTTTCAGCTTATACTGGAATGATAAAAGCATGGACACAAAGGTAAGGGAAGTGTAGGTTCCTAGCAGGATAGAGGCTGTACTTTTTTTTATTTATCCAGAAAATCTCTCAAGATGCTTTAGGTTGTACTTAAATTGTTCTTTCCAGAATTGACTTGAATTTTACTAGAGTAAAATGGAAAATTTAGATTATATTAAGGCACAATATAGATAGGCATTGTTGTTGTAGTTTAGTGGGAAGATTACTGGGGTTCTAGGAATTTGCTGAATTTTAACTCCAGCTTTGCCACTAGATAGCCGAGTAAATCCTGAATGAATTTTTTGGTTTAGTTTTGTTTTGCTTTCTGTATATGGAATGTAATTATGTAACATCTAATAAGTAGGTACCTGAAAAATTAAAGAAATTAATACTTTTTGTTTTGTGTAGTATAGAGGACTTGCATTAATATTTGGGATGTTAGGGGGAAATAATTTAAAATGTTATGAATATTGGTCAATAATTTTTAAAGCCTCATATTTAGGTCATATTTGAAATTTAATCCTATTTAGTCTTCAAGGACTTGCTGGGAGCTTTTGTTTATTTGTTTTTGAAAGTATAGACGGTTGAAAAGATGGAAAGCTTATCAGCTTATTTTATGAAGCTAGCACAACCATGAACCTAATAAAGAAAGAATAGACACATAACTGTGTGCACACAGGCAGACATACAGATCCATACATATGCTAACATTCCAAATAAAATACTAGCAAATGGAAACTAGTAGTGTATTAAAAATTATGTATATTGGTTGGGAAGCTTTTATCCCAGAAATATGAAAATAACTATTTGCTATTAAATCTCTATGATTCATTTTATCAATATATTAGAGGAAGATTAATGATTAAGTCAACAATAGATGTTTTTAAGAGAAAGGACACTTCAGCTCATGAAAATCCTGCAACTTTATTCATAGGAAACTACAGAGTAAAACACGGTGAGGTAGCACATAGTATTGGCAGTAGAAAATGGTAACTCATACTTTGTTAGTAATGTGAATTGCTAAGCCTTTTGGTGCAAATGATAATAGTTATTGAAATAAAAATTCATGTTATCAGCTGGACATGGTGGTGCATGCCTACAGCACTTGGGAGGCAGAGGCAGGAGAGTTCTGAGTTCAAAGCTAACTTGGACTACTTTGTGAGACCCTATCTAGAAAACAAAAGCATATTATCTCTTGAATAGTCCTGCTTCTGGAATTATTCCTAACAAAAGTATTGTATTAGTACCTGGTATGGTGCCAATATATGATAACATAGTGTATTAGGATTTATATGTAAGGATATTTTGTATAACTAAAAACCCGGTGACTATTGCTGACTGGAGGGACTAAATAAAGTACACCATACAAGTACTATGGAATATGGTGTAACTATGAACCAAGAGGGATGTCCATAATGCTATTGTCAAGTTGGGATGTGGGACAACAAATTCTAGATCGTTGGGCATTATGTTAGTTACTTTTTATAAAAAGAGAGAACGTCTCTCTTTATATGTTAAATATAAATGTGCATGAGCTATTAGAAATGTGCAGAAGATTGAGTTAAGAGGGGATAGAAGTGGTGAAGAGGGAAAATCATTTTCCCTTTATTTCTGCACTGCTTGATTTACTATGAAGAGCATTTATTAACTTCTGCAGTAATCATATTTAATGAAAGGAAAATTGTTATATAAATTCAAATAGGTGGGTGTGGGTTCTAAAGCTGATGGATTTGACCAGCCAGAGACATAGAGAATAGAAAAGTATTATGCCACACCTGTGTTGTGTAATCATTTCCATCCACACCATCACGACAAATTTCTTCTCAAAACAGAATATGTTTTACACTAAAAAATGGTACCATGAATGGTTTTTGCTCTTATAGCAACTCCGCTCCAATATCCGAGAAATGGAGAAGCTTTGCCTAAAAGTCCGAAAGGATGACTTGATACTTCTGAAGAGAATGATAGATCCCGTTAAGGAAGAAGCATCCACAGCAACAGCAGAATTTCTCCAACTCCATTTGGAATCTGTCGAAGAGCTTAAGAAACAATTTCATGATGAAGAAACTTCATTACAACCTTCTTTGACCAGATCCATGACTGTTGGTGGTAATGTACTATACTAAGTCTTATTCTTGATCCAGTAATGAAGCTAATTAAAGATCGCCTCCTCAGGTAGAGACTGCAAATTATCTGTAAGTCCAGGTTCCCTACTATTCAATCCTTAAACCCTGAGCAGGCTGGAAATGTGTACTTTGGACATTTTGCTGGTGAAATTTTTATATGGAATGGCACTTCAGGTCATTTTTTAAAAAGTCTTATGGGTAGTGAGTAAACAGCTGATAAGGTTTCACTATTTGAGTTGTCCACTAGAAAATTTAAAGTCAAAATTTTTAACCACCCCAAATTAAAATTTCTAAGTACCTGGCTTTATTTTAGAACTGTTGCCTTTATTTCCTTTTTGTTCTATTGTTTATCTTTTACTTTAAATTAATTCCATTTTATTTTATATATTGCAAGATACCTTTAATCCTTATGGGAAAGGGGGGTATAAATAAATTACAAGTTAGAATAGAATTTTAGGGATACTATGCCTCCCTTGTTTTTCTTTTTCTGTTTACTGGAATACTCTTGTACCACTCCCTATCTCCAAATCCAGATTATTTTTAATTTTGCATTTTCAGTGCTAATCATTCAGTAATGTATAAGGAAATAAAAGATATATAATTAGAAGAAACATTTAGGCCAGCACCCCGAGTTTCTAGGTAACCTTGTATTCATTGTATCCTTATTCCCTAGCACAGGGCTTTTCACAAGGTGGATCATTCATAAGTATTTTATAAATATAAATAAATAAATATCTTTTGAGAGACAATTTTATAATTACAGATGGATAACCAGTGCCTAGAATGTTTAAGGGAGAAGGAGATGTTAACATCAACTTTTGGTTGCTCAATATATGAGAATCATGCTTTTTGGTAGTTTATAGTTATGGTTTTCACTATTTGTTCACCTGTAGTGATCACCAGTCATCATATTAATAAAACTGAAAGCTGTTCTTATTACTTAGTGCAACCTGATGCTTCATGTGTGTATGTGGAGAAACTGGACTCTATGGTTCCATTTGGTTAAGGGGCCATCTTATGTACCCAGACATTGTGACAGTTGTGATGGCAATAATATCAGTGAAGATGAGCTGGATTTTCTAGAAAGAGTAACTGGCATCAATCTCTTGCTATTTAGCTTCATATTGCCTATCACTAGCAATTCCCTATCAAGCAAAAATGAGTTCTGTGCAAGAGGTTTTTTTTTTTTTACAATAATAATCTAACACTTGCTCTATTTGCATTTTGTTGTTGCATTGTTTGTGTTTGTACTAGTAGAACTGTTTGTGCTCAACAGACTTAAGTTTACATACCATCAGAGGAATTGGGTAATTATAAAGGAGTTCACTAGTTCACTGGCAATTAACTTTCTCCATAAGAAGCAGACTGGTATGAAAACTAAGATTGGCAGAATTTAGGAAGTATATATATAGAGAGAGGAATTGAAAAAGATTAGGACAGAGACAGAGGATGGGGGAGAAGAAATGGCAGGTGAAATTCATTTTCACCTCTACTGATTCTCAAACTTCTCAATTCACAGGATGCCCAATAAGCTAAGCATCTAATTACTTGCCACTGGGAGAAAACTACAAAATTAAACTCTGAAACTAGTGTTGATTTGATTAAGACAGTCACTGTAGTTCTAAACTCACATACCTAAGCTGTACCTAAAACAGAATATAGAATTTCAAATTCTAAATAATCTGTTATCAGACTGCATTGACTATGATCCATTGTCAGCATAAAGCATTTAAAACCACTGTTCACCAGAAGCCTCAGTATTTCACCAACTGGGAGTTTCTACTAGAATGCCTTAAATATTGCCAGAAGTATTATTAACAAGTAGTTAAAACAGTAACCAGGGAGAACAATTTGCATAAAACTTTAATAGTGGGGTAGGAATTGGGTTTGCTCCATATGCAGTCTTCTTGTAGCTCTACATCCTGTTCTGCATGTTTTTATCCTGTGCTTTCTGGGTTTTCCTTATTTTTGCTTTAGATACTCATTATAGCAGTGAGCATCACAGCCTATACAGAAAACTGCATTTTGTTTGCATGAAAGTTCGGTGCCTTAAAATACTTTCTTCTTTACAAATCTGCTTCTAAATCAATTGGTTGGAAACATCGGCAGAGATTCAGGAGCAGTGTTGCCATACCTCCATGAGTGAAATCAAAAATACAAAAGTAGTTTTTCATTTACAGATAGAAATAACAAGTATAATAGGACGTTTTTATGTTCTGTGGAGAATGAAAGGAGCTTATTAAGTTTAGGGGAAAGCTATGATGATTTTGCTGTTTCTTTTGTCCAGATTCTAAGCGTTCTGAAAGCAAATCTTCTCTGCCAATCTTGCTTGATCTGAGAAACTCCCTTCTGTCTCACTTGTGTGTCTAGCTTCATTTTTAGCATATTGCTTCCCACCAAGAGAAATGATGAGCCCACAAATCTGATTTGTATTTAGAAAGGCGATTCAAGTTATACAGAATGAATCAGTGCTTCTTTCCATTTTTTGTCTTTCTTTACCCCATCCAGGACACACACTTCTGTAGCACAGTAGAAATGGAATCTTATTACATTTTAAACAAATATTCAACAAGAAAAGAATCCAATCTTAAAACTGCTGGGAACTTCAGACCAGCATATTGAATTTGATGAAATATTAGATTTTTATCTCAGGCATATACATGTACTGAATAGTTTTGTGAAACATGGATTTTTTTATTATTACTCAGAAGATACATTTTCTATTGGTTTTAATTTTCTTAAAAGTCTTCACTTGTAGTTAAACTATGACTTACAAGTCATTTTGTTTTGATAGATAGGTTTATGTAGATGATCAGTAAATTAATTTTACTATTTTTAAGCTATCAGAACTTGAAAGAAAATAAAGGAATGCTTTTGAATTAATGTGGATTTGCAGTGAAACATTTCTTAATGTAGTGAAGCTCCAGTTGTAGTGTGTTGTGTTGTAGTTCTTGGTAGAATCGTAATTCATAACATACGGAGAAACAGAAAAGGAGAGAATTCTTGGATATATATATATATATATATATATATATATATATATATATAAAGAGAGAGAGAGAAAAAAAAAGAGAGAAGAGAAAGTAAAAGTTTCATATCCATGTTACTTATTTTCTCATTTCAACTGAATTGAATCAACAATCTTAGTGTTTATTTGAATTTATAGCCAATAATAAAGGTTTTAAAACCAATTTTGGGGTTTGAAAAACAGTGATGAGTAAGACATATACACATACACCATGCCCCTTGTACTCAGTTGTTTACCTGTGGGTGTGACTATAATATGTGATATGAAACAGGCATCTTTTTACAATCTAAAGTTCTTCAGATTTCCTTCCTGCCACTGTATTCTTAGTGTTTTGCCTCTGAGAGTCTATAGCAGTTTGTAAGAGTTCACAGTCAAAAGATGATCATTCAGGTATAGAGGGTGAAATAAATGAATTATGGAAGTTGTAGAAAGTAAAAGGGTTGCTTTCTTAATTGATAGTCATGCCTTGAATGAATTTGTGATGCTCAGAGCTGTAAATTTACAGCAAGGTTTTCCATGGAAGAGAATAGACTTCTTTGTTCTAAGTCTCTATTTGAACTAAGATACATACGCAGTTTGGTTTCAAGTGCAACGGAAATGACAAACATTTCTTATTTCTTACAAGGGGAATCTTTTATGCTTACTGAAATGTCAAACATTTCCCATCCCTTATTTTTAAATAAAGAATTTATATCTGACAATATCTCCTCATTTTGTTCTGTACCCTGACATATTTCATTGAATCCTATTCAATAGTACATCATTATAATAGTACATTATAAAGTTGTGCTTTGCCTTTGGTCTGATAGTGATAATAAAGTTGTCATTATTCATTAGTACATAGGAACAGTAAGTGGAAGAAGGTCATAGAGTAATTCATTTATCTTGGCTGAAGTGTCTTTATTGCAATAAGATATAGAGTACTGTGATTTTGCCTTAGCTATATTGTTTCTTTCTTAGTGGCTTTTTTCATGCTAGTTTTTCCATCTAATTTAAATTTATCTCCTCATAGTAATACCAGTTTTTCCAAGAAACTTCCCTACAAACCACATACCTCATCATTGCCATGCCCAAAATACTAAATGCATCTGTATCAATTTATCCAGGTAGATGTCAGTGCACTCTCCTATTGTTTTATGATTGTCTGTATGGGTGATCCTTCTAGAATGTATATCCTTTGAGAGTAGTTTCATCCTTGGTACCAAACACAATTCATAATGGCTGTTCAGAAGATGTTAAAGTGATGTGGGAGGTGCTTTGAAAGGAAGAGAAAAAGCAGGATGTCAGTTCTCTTCTCTCCAGTCTCTTCTGCCAGTGTCTTCAAAAGCTAAAGATCATTCTACACTGGAAAGCCTCCCAATTGGATTCACACTCTCCAATTGTCTCACCTTTCAATTCTATCCTTCATGTGTGCTTCACACTACAGCTATGGTTTCTTTCAGAATCTAAAATCTGATTCTGGCAACTTCTACCTTTCAAATACTCTACAACTCCCTTTCATAGTTCCATAGTAATCTTATGAGAAAGACACCTCTCTCTCTCTCTCTTTTTTTTTTTTTGCAGTACTAGAGTTTGAACTCAGGACCTTGTGCTTGCTAGGCAAGTGTTCTACCACTTGAGTCATGTCCCCAGCCCTTTTTGCTTTGGTTATTTTTCAGATAGGTTCTTGTGCTTTTGTCCAGCATACCTTTGTATGGCGGTCCTCTTACCTATGCCTCCCAAGAAGCTGGGACTACAGATTTTAACACCACAACCTGCTTGTTTGTTGAGATGAGGTCTTACCAACTGTTTGCCTGGGCTGACTTTGAACCAGGAGCCTCCTGATCTCCACCCCCCAGAGAAAAACACCCCTCTTTTAAGATGGTTTATGAGGGGGGAGAAATGACCCAAGCCTTGTATGCACATATGAATAATAAAAAAAAAGATGGTTTATGATGCCATGAATAAATTTCTAGTTCCAACGTTTGTTTTACATTTTATCAAGTCTATGCAGCAGCTCTATGGAGCATCTTTCCATTTTTAAGCCTATTCCTATTGTTATCCCTGACCTAAACACTTTGCATCTCCCTGAATCTCCACCCAAGTCCACCTATGTGATTTCAGACATCAGTCTCAGAACCTTCTTAGGCATTCTCCTCCCTACAGGACAAGGCTTCATATCTGTCTTACATGCTCACATAGCACTCCAAACTCCATCTCATTGTTCTCAGCTGATACTGACTGAACTTGGCTCAACATGTCTGTACCACACATTCTATGCAAAGCTCTTTTAGTGATAGCAGCAGTAGCAGTGGCCGTGGTAGTAACTATTTATTGCCACTTTGTACTTTGTATATAACCCAGATGCTATGAAAAATAAGCATCACCTTATTTTATAATGAGAACCATAAATCTGGAATAAAATACCTTCTCAAGTCAATGAGTAGCAAGTAACCACTACCAGGACTCTAATGCCAGTCTTTCCAAGTAGGTCTAGACTCCTAACAACTGCACCATTTTGCCTCCTCAGAACCGTTTTGTAGCATTTAACAGCAATTAGTTAATAAGTGTCAGTTGCATGAATGAAGGATTAGTAAAACTAACATGAAGACATAAGAGACTTGAAAGATATATTTTTAATGTAAATTAACTTGCTATTATAGTGGCATTTAATAAATAAAGTCTTAGTGAATTGAAGACTTTGTAAAACTCAGAAAAGAAGTAGAAAAAGCAGTAGAGGCATGAGCCAGAAGGATGACTCTAAGGAGAAGAGTGACAGTATATACAAAAAGATTCATATGGCACATGTGGTCACTGCTGACAGTGCGGTTGTTATTGACTGATGTTCACTGATAGAAACACTTCACTTTCCTCCCTTTTTTCTTGTTTCTTTTTGCGGTGCTGGACTTCACACAGGCTAGGCCTGCCTCTGCTACAAAGCTACACTCCCATTTTCACTTTCCTACTTTTGATACCTTTTCTCTTCTATCTGAGACTTATTACTAAAATCACCAAATAAAAGGTTAAGGATTTAGCAGTTTCTCTTGAGAATGTCTTTATGGTACATTGGCCAAGTTTCTCTTTGCTGGTTCTTCCATATCTAGCTCTAGTTACTTAGATTGGTTAGATAGTATTTGTAGCTATTTTCTAATTGATTTTATAGTCAGAAAAAATACCTCAACTGACCTGGTGAGCAAGCTGCCCAAAGATAAGTAATTCTTATTTTTATAGAATAATCAATTTACTTTTAGCCTGAATTTAATTAATAAGCATTTTTGCATGGCAGTTGTTTTTTTTGGAATTGTTTCATGCTATGTCCTTTCTAAAAAGCTGACTCTAAACATGGTTCTGTGTTCATTCAGGAGCATTTCACACCACTGAAGCTGAAGATAGTTCTCAGAGTTTGACTCACATATATGCATTGCCTGAAATTCCTTCAGATCAAAATGCTGCAGAATCGTGGGAAACCTTAGAAGCGGTATGTTAAAAATTACTTTCTTTTTTGTAGCTGTGGAATGTAAAAGTAAGTTAATTTCCTCTCTTTTTCTTTTTAAGGACTTAATTGAACTTAGCCAACTGGTCACTGATTTCTCTCTCCTAGTGAATGTAAGTACATAACTGTTTGGGACTCAGAAATGTTATATTATTAGAATGAGAAGTTTTGATCAGTCATTATACTTTTGATTAGAATTTTCATAGAAGATAGAATTTTAAAACTGGTATTGAACCATGGATAAAAGTCTAACTGTCCTCAAATTCCATATCAGTTGAAATAATACTTAAATTATGTATTAATAAATAAATATATTTTGTTACTATCTTTATTAATTATTAATATATTAATATACTGATTAAGCACTATGTTATGTACTTTGTTAGATGCTTGGTTTGGTGGGGGGGAGATCTGACAAGGTTAGAAATAGAAATAAATGAAGCCCATCCTCTGCCTTTGGGGATTTTATCATAGGTAGAGGTGGGCTTGGACGCCCCCAAAAGGCATGGAGAGAAGTATCAGCTCTGAGAAGAAACATTAAATTCCAAAAGAGGGAGGCGTGATTTGTGAGATGGGAGGATTAAGGATAGCTTCGCAGAGATAGGTAGTATAGTCTTGAACAATGAGTAATGCTCACAGTGGGGAATAAGGGAGTGCATTTCAAACAGCTAAATAAAGACATGCATAGAAACATGTATTGCCTGTCCAAGAATGGTGAGTACTGCTTAAAACAAAAGCGCAAGATACCATGGGAAAGCAAGGAGGGTGAAGGCCAGGCTGTGATGGTAATGAATGACCTACTAAACAATGTGAGCTTTACTTTGTAGGCATAAGGAGCCAATATAGTTTTTTGAGTAGGTTAAAGTCATATAGTCCAGTCTGTGCTTTAGAAAGACCATTATTAGCAGTGTGAATCACAGCAGAAAAGAGGAGGAAGTCCTGGGCAAGATAACTAGTTAAAAATCAGTTGGAAGAATTTAACCCGGAGCAATGGTGACATCAGTATAATGGTAAAGGACAGCTGGGAGGTCTTTCTAGGGTACATTTAGGGGAAATTGGAGGAAGATGGAGTCAAAGATAAGGGACATTATGTCTTTTTTCTGTATAATCAGGCCCAGGTGTCTCTAGTTGACATAGATTAGAGAGCACAAAGTAATTTTGCTGGGAAGATAGAATAGGTTTTCTGTCATTGTTTTTCTAAACTGTTCTTATTTTTCCTTTCTATGAATTATGTGAAGGGTGTGTGTGTGTGTGTGTGTGTGTTTGTGTGTGTGTGAGTGTGTGTGTGTGTGACCACACAGTGCTTTTTTTTTTTGGCAGTACTGGAATTTGAACTCAGGGCCTCATATCTGTTAGGTAGGCATTTTTCCATAGTTCTTTGTTCTTGATCAAACTATGATTTGGGGGTTGTCCTTCTCTGAGGTATGGTTTGCCTGAGATCTGACTTTAAGGTAGAACTTCCTAGATCACAGTGTCTGAGAATTGAAATAGGAAAGGGCTTAAGAAGCCTGCTAATCTAACTCCTCCACTCTTGCTCCAAAGTCTCAAGTGAATAGTCTTTCAGCCTCTTTCTGAACATTTCAGTGCAGGGGCAGTTGATAGCTCAGTCATTCCATTTGGAAGTTATAAGTCTTAGAAGTTCCTTCTTAAGTAAACTCTGCCCAAAAATAACTTCTCGTTTGTTCTTTTGCATTCTAGAGCCACAAATAAGTTTGTCTTTTTTCCATATAAAAGGTTTTCAGAGTTTTGAAAGCAATCTCATCTTTCCTTTTCCTACCCCTCCAAACCATATCTTTCTTTCTTTTTTTTTTTTTCCTTTATTGTTGTGCTGGGTGATGGTACAGTGTGGCATTTTCAAAGGTTCTTACAATGTATCAAATGATACTTGAATTCATCCCCTCCACTGCTTTCCTTTATCCCCCCTCCAATATCTTCATTTCTTAAAAATGTTTGGTTTTTTGTTCTTTCCACAATTCCTAGATTTTCCAATACAGCCCTTTTTTCTGATTATGTTCTAGTGAATATTTTCTTGAAATGTAATGACTAAAATTGAATGCAGTAAATTGTTTGAATTATTTCTGATACCTGTAAGTTCAAAAACATAAAATGTTGGAAGTCCTCAAGTCAGGTATTTATGTACTCTATTAACATATTTGCATATATCAAGGAATAAAATTTATTCAGTTATTGTAACAACTAATCTCTGAATCTGATGCAGTTTGTAAAATCTCTACATGTATGGTTACACAAATATATACATTTGCTGAAAGCTCTCAGTCTGTACATTTAAAATGTGTTTTAATGTTTGTAACTTATGCCTCAATAAAGTTGATTTTAAATGAGCTAAGCATGTACAAAGTTTTTCTCAAGACATATATGCTTCCCTTCCAGGAGGATAGGTACATGAAAGGAGAATTAAAGTTTGCAGCCTACTAACAGTTACAGGTTCCATTATGTTACGTAAGCAGCTCTTGACCCCAGCCTAAGGAAGATTCATGATGGAAGACTCTGGCTATATCCATAGTGCTATACAAATATCCTATTTATTATAATCTGTGCAAGGACATGAGTCGGAATGCTATTTGGCAAAAGCTCAAAGGAGAATCCAATTATTATTTCTGGGGTGACAGAGTTCTCATGACCATATGGAAAGGACTCACAGAAGCTCCATTGAGGTACAGAATAACCTGGCAACATGACTAGAGTGACCACATCCTCTTCTTGTCATCACATGGACATGATAATATCCAGGCAAATTAACCATGCACTTAAGAAGCATTTCTATGTACATAATACTATGCTAAGCTCAAAGAAGAATGGAGAATAGTATCAAAAGAGCTTCATGATAGTTGTGATGGTTGTACAGCATTATGAATGTACTTAATTCCACTACACTGTACACTTAGAAATAGTTAAAATGGTAAATTAATACTCATTTTACCTTATCATGAAAAGGGCATACAAAGCCATGGAAAGATCAAGATAACAGTCCAATAAACGTTAATAAATTAGTATCTACTAGGCACCCTTCTCTATTTGCCTTCAGCCTTTATTGCTTAAGTTCCCTTTTCTTGTAACCAGTTCTATTTCTAGTCGAGGCGAATTTAAAGAACTCTGGGATGGTAGTTCAACAGCATGTCACCCTTATGGCTGATCCTATTTTGACTTTTACCATTTACCTTTTTCCCTATGGCTTTTGAAATCCAGTTAACTTCTGGGTACATAAAAACTGCTGGCAATATTAGATCAGATTCCTCCACTTATTGCCTATGGGACCTGTAGGATGTTATTTGACAACAGTGAGCTTTGTAAAATGGATGGGAAGCTCTATGTAAGGTAACATCTGTAACTGCATATCCTTTTGCTTCCCACCAACCCCAGCAGTCCTGCATTCATCTTTCTCTTGGTTCCCTCTGGCTCCTTACATAAAATTCTGCTTATGCCACCACTGATACCTTCAGACATTTTAGTATTGGAGCTTCTTCACTTCCTTTCCTACTGCTGAACCCCTTGAAGTCAATGTCCTAAATTACCTATTCCAGGCCAATGTAATCCTGTACTCTGCCTGCATATCCGTGTTTGACTGTTTCTAGGCTTCTCTCTATATATGATTGCATATGATTAAGGAAAGAATGAAGGTAAATGCTTGGATATTTGACATTATCTTAAACTCAGTTTGTCAAGCACATTAATAAAGTTGCATAACTAACTCTCCAAGAAAAGTGTTATTATTGATGAAAATGGATTTGTAGAAGAATTTGTTGAATGCATTACCAGTATTTGATATAGAGGGAGCTGGGCTTATAAGTACCCACAACAAGCATTCAAGCAAATTACATTCTGCTTGATTAGTATTAACTGGGTAAATCACATTTTCTCTAGAATCTTAGGTGCCCTTGTAACTGCTCATCAAGATGCAGTTATTTTCAGTCCAATTTGGGACCCTAATTCAACATTCCTTAAAAATGAAACCCATAGATATATTTTTTGAGTCTTGAAAATTTTTTTCTTTAAAAGAAAAATCAATACCCTAATCTAGTTGAGAAACCCTGCAGTGTCTGTCCTAAGTGGCTTAGCTCGTTGTTAAAGGGATGCTGAGGACACATAGAAGTGTCAAAGAATGAAATGCCAGGCAGGAGGGTTGAGGATTGTCAGATGTGGGAGGCCAGGCAGATGAAGACAAACATAAACAAATCCAAAGCAGAAAGGGAAAGTCAGTAGGTAGAGATGAGTATGTAGATAGAGCCACACTGTTGCTAGGAGCTTAGCTTCATAGACTGCAGTAGGGTTCTGCCATGCATGCTTTGTCCAGTGTAAGGAGCAAAGGACATAGTGGACAAGTAGTGACCAACTTCAGCTATGAACGGAGTCCAGTTTGGCTTTCTTCTGATACTGATTGACAGCTTTGTGACACTGGATGCCTAACTACAATCTTATGGGTATCACTGAGTCTTCCCTAGTCATGAAGCAGATTTGAATACATGGACAGATTTAGGATTCAAACCAAGCAAAGTAAGGGGAAGAGGAAGGTGGATCTGCACAGTGAGAGGCAACTCTTGATCCCAGGATAGGGACTTCCTACCCTCTGCTCTCCCACCTGCTTCATGTTGGAGCAAGCTTCCTGGTGTCAGTGAATTCATCCTTGCAGACATGGGCTACTCTCCAGAGCAAGCTGAGCCTCATCAGGAGCTGGTGAGTGCAGTGATGGAGAGCATTAGGATTCAAATAATTGGATTGATTTTTTTTTTCTTGTCTTTTGTGAAAAAATTAAAGCTATTTTAAAATTTTACTTTAACTTTAAAAAGTGATAGTATTGAAATATCCAAATTTTTAGGAAGGAGTACTAAAAATATTTCCCTACTTCCTTGAGTATGAAAGTATCAAGAATACTGGCCAGCTCCTTCCTCTACCTGGAATCATTTTGGGCTGAGGGAGAGGAGGAATGTGGGCTATTTTTCTTCTGCCCTCAATTTATCAAGATGTGAAAGCTGATGACAGAGTTTGACTGCAGTGTAGCAAGCACTCCTCAGGCAAGTGTGGAAGTGTTGAGGTGTCCCAGATATAAATAATGCCAGGGCATCGGAGATACCGGGAAGCTGTGTGTTTTTAGTCCTGGCACTTTTGCTTTTGTGACTCAGAAAAAGAAAGCTGACTTAAAGAAGTTTTACCATCTGAGAAAATTAAAATTTTGTGAGTGAGTCTGGAATAGATATAATGTTTAAGTGCTCTGGACTTCTCAAGCATCATAGGAAAAGCTTAATATATCCTTTGATAGGTAGATGAGAGGTAACACTTTCTTCCTAGGAAGATCAGGATAAGTGTTTCTTTCCCCCACCCATACTTGGTAGACATCCACTTTCTTTTTTCTTTTTTGGTGGTAGTGGGGTTTGCTAGGCAGGTCCTCTAGTACTTGAGTCATACCCCAGCCCTTTTGCTTTTAGTTATTTTTCAGAAAGTCTTGAGTTTTTGCCCACCATGGGCCTTAGACTGCCATCTTCCTAATTACACCTCCCATGAAGCTAGAATCATAGGGACATACTACCATGCCTGACTTTTTCCATTGAAGTAGCGGCTTTTTAATTTTTTTGCCCAAGCTGGCTCCAGATCATGTTGCTCCTGATCTCTGCCTCCAGGTGTGCAGGTAGCACACAGGTGTGCATTACACCTGTGGCATTACAGGTGTGCATCACCACCCCTGGCCTCATTTTATCCTTTCAAAATCATTATCCTCAGTTGGTCTCTGTGAGTGCCGGCACCTACAGAATCTAAGTAACTTGGTTCAAGGGCACATAGTGTCTTGAATTTGAACACAGAATATCTGCCCAAAGGTTATATACCTTAATACTATCATTTTAATAGTGACTTTTAAAGTGTGAGAATTGGCAGCATTAGCATCACCAGAAACTTCTTAGAAACTCTAATTCTAGGCTCTATCTCCAAGTCCACTGAATCAGAAAATCTGGATGTGTGTTTTTTCATTTTTTTTTTGGTTTTTTCCATGGATTGAACTCAGTGCCTTGCACTTGCTAGTCAGGTACTCCCAGCCCTTTTGCGTTAGTTCAGGCCAGCCTTGGAACATGATCCTCCTATTTTTGCTTCTCTACTAGGTGGGATTATAGGCGTGTACTACCACACCCAGCCACAGTCTGTGTTTTAAGAACCCCTGCCGGTGATTGTAATGCACAGTCATGTTTGAGAGAATCATTGTTGTACTTATCTCTGACAGGGAGGCTCCAAGGAAAATTGAAAAAGGAGTTTTTAGTGATTGTTAGAGATATTGAGATAGTGGTGGAGAATCCCAGCATGAGGGGATCCACAAAAGGCCTGACAGCAGAAAGGTGCATATTGAGAAAGGAAGGACTATCAATAATGCTAATAGGAAACAACCAAGGGGAAAAAGTAGTTGTGTTGTTTGGGCGTTATGGCCTCAAATGAAATCAGAATTGAAATTAGAAGTGTTTTATTTATGTCTAGCTTAGTGTAAATGAGTAGATCAGTTATAGAAGGGCAATCAGATACTTGAGGATTCGAGTTGAATTTTTTTCACACTCATTGTAGAAGATGGTGTTTGTCTGGAATCCAAGAGAGGGTCTCCTCTTTTCTCTGCAAATTAAAAAAAAACAAAAAACCAAAGTAGTCCATGCCGTGATGGTGATGGTGATTGTCTGAGTCGCCATGTGTCAGAACTCTTCACCGATAAAAAGAGTGCTTGTCATTGTATGCAAATTTCAACTAAATAAAGTTGATTTAAAAATGGGACCATGATCCTGTAGCAAGGAATGCATTCTTGTCACTGGAGGGGTCTGAGCAGAGGCTCAGTGACCCCTGGAGGGCTTCACACAGGAGCGAGAGGACTGCACTTCCCAACTCAGCATCCCTCCCTCCTAGACATTCCAGCATCATGGCTGTTGTGCTGTCAGCTCAGGCACTGCTATTGTAGGTAGAATGCTTTATTAATACATTTGATCTGAAATATCTTAAATTGACATGATTTTAGAAGGCATTAAATTTAGTGTAAGGCATAAGCCCAGAACGGTAAGTTCACTCACTGCTACCTGCTGCCAAACACAAGTGCAACAACTTCATGGTAGATGAAACCACACTGTAGTCTCATTCCCACAATATAGCAATTTATATTTATTGGATCAAGGGCATTTTACTTCTAAGGTAAATTTACATATTTTAAACAGAATCTTCAAGTTAGGGAGGGTTTTTTTTGGTTTGATTTTGTTTTTGTTTTTGTTTTTTTCTGTATCAAACTCAACATGACATGTAAATGCTTACTTAGATTTTTTTTTTTTCCTCCTGGAAAGTAGATTCATTTGGAGAATTACATGTTTGCATGTTTGAATGAATTTCAGTGTGAGATGCTTTTTGCTGTAAAGGTGCCACCCTTTTATTACCTAATAATTAAGTCCCCCTCTTTTTATCATGAAAGTGGATTTGTACTTTCGACATGGTTTATCAGCTGCTATTAATGAACTGCTATTAAGACTGCAAGGCTGCTGTACCCGAGGCCCTGATTACAGGAATTAAAATAGTGTGTGCTGGCTCCTGCCGCGGAACAGCAGGGCGCTCACTCATAATTCCTTTGCATCTAGTCTCAGCAGGAGAAGATTGACAGCATTGCAGACCATGTCAACAGTGCTGCTGTGAATGTTGAAGAGGGGACCAAAAACTTGGGGAAGGTAAGACTCTGCTCCTGCTGACAAATCAATGGCACTCGGGCTCCCAGGAATCTCTAGTATTACCCAATTGATCCACACTCTTCAATGTTTCGGGAGCCAGCAATTAAGGAAATAAGGAAGAAATGACACATAGGTAGTGCAGAAAATCAATGGCTGTAATATTCTGCTCTAAGATTCATTCTATGAGGAGGGAAATTGTTTTCAAAGAAAATAAACTGGCCTCACTCCAAGGCATTTGCACAGGCCCAAGGAGAGGAGTGAGAGATGAGTGCAAAAATCCAATCACGCAAAAGTGTAAGGAGGTGACAGTACCCATGGAATGGGACCACCTATTTTCCATAGGATGTGGGTTTTAACCTGGGGTACATAGCATGGAATCATCTCCATGTAGTACCAAAGCTTTGATGGAGATCTGTGGCCACTGAAACTGTTTAAAGAAGCCAGCTAGTTAAGAGAATTGATTATTTTGCAAGTAAAATCGATTTGTAGTAGTCCACTCTGTGTAGCTCATTCCTCGAAGTTGTGCGATCTGGAGCGATTGCAGTACCTGTGGAATACTTTCTCCCCACAAGTACACTCTCTGAGGTTAATTATGTACCAAGAGTTAAAGAGGCATTGCCAGGAGTAATGAGAGGAAAATGCACATCACCACAGGCAGATATTCTCAACTCAATTTCTAAATTGAATTTTTTTTTTACAGGCTGCAAAATACAAGCTGGCGGCGCTGCCTGTGGCAGGTGCACTCATCGGAGGAGTGGTGGGGGGTCCGATTGGCCTCCTTGCAGGCTTCAAAGTGGCAGGAATTGCAGCTGCACTTGGTGGTGGGGTGTTGGGCTTCACAGGTGGAAAATTGATACAAAGAAGGAAACAGAAAATGATGGAGAAGCTCACTTCCAGCTGTCCAGATCTTCCCAGTCAAACTGACAAAAAATGCAGTTAAAAACCAAACTTCCATACTATTGGTGCGAAGGTCTCTAGTCTAACAAGCACCTTGCCGTTGCTGGACACCCAATCAGCTTTTGGAACCCAATGATCAAGGCAGTGGCTCTAGATGCCCATGTGGCATTGGACTGCATTAAGTGGATACCTTTTGTTTGTTGGGTGTTGATGGAGATGTTTGAAATGGAGGAGCCTGGGCTGAGGGTGTATGGTGTCTGGGAGGTCATGGTTAAAGACTGCCAAAGAGCAAACTTTCTGCCTGGAAATGTGAAAGCAAACTATAATTAAGGAATGAAGATGAGTAGAAATGACTGGAGACTTAAGACGAAGTGTAGGGTAGATTATTTAGGCCTGTTGCCAAAGAAGAGAATGGAGCCTTTCAGGTAGGGAAATGTGAACTAACAAGAGGCAAAGGTGAGTCACATGGTAGAGGGCCACTTGGTGAAGCCCATCGCACTTCGATTCAACTATGTTTCTGGTGAAGGATGAAGAGTATAAGAAAATGGAAAGAGAGGCCCAGCTTCTCTTTCGGGTATCTTCATTTGTGACACTGGCTTCTTTTCTGAACTTCCCTCGATATGTCTTTAAGAGCACAGAATCTCACACAGTGGGACGAGACTTACTAAGCCAGCCAACATGCGCACTGTCAGCCCTAATGTATTCAAGATCCTGTGCCCTTTCGTTTCCTCCTTCGTAACTTCAAAAAGCTCTTCAGTTTGTGAGGTGAATTCTATCCAGGTGTAATGAGGATTTTTCTCATGAACTGCCTTTTTGCATTGTTTGACATCATTGTTCACCCCTTCCTGTAATCTCTTAAGTTAAAAAAAACAAAACAAAAACTTCCAAATGTTTCCAGCAATGTTAGAATTTGGGCTGAAAATGAGCAGGGGAAAGTGTGAGACCGTATCCTATCCTGGGGCACTTTCTTACTTCAGGGGCTGATTCAGTACCTGCCTCATAGGAGTCTCTGACCCTCAGTCATCTGAGAACTAGCTTTCTACCTCACTTCTGTTCTGTCCTTTTCCCAGGGTCTGTTGTCTCCTGTGCTTCCCTTCCCTTTTCACAGCTGCCATTTCTTCCTAAGGATAGTGTCATGCTCCCCTTTTCTCACATTCTAGATGATGACAAAGCCAGTGCCAAGACTCAGACCCAATGAAGGATTTGTGGTGCTAATCCAACACTTGATACTGACAGCAAGCATGGTCCAGCCCAAACCCAAGTCTGTCTCAAACAACAAAAAGATTTTAAATTTAGAGAATTTAAGGACAAGCAGCCTCACTCTGTACCCCCAAACTCATTTGCAATATGATGGAACCATCTGTTTTATTTGCTTTACTCTTTTTGAGGACAGAAATAGGCAACTGCACCCCATTGGTCAGGGGGCAAGTTGCAACAGAGGGCTGAATAGTTTGTCACTTAGCTTCTCTTGCTGAGTTTGCTTTTAATAACTTCTATTGATTGTTACCTTTTCACTTCTGTATCTAGTCTACAGAGATTGTTCACGTTTTTTGAATCTCACCAATGAATTCCTGTGAGATAAAGCACCATTTTCTTTTGATTATTAAATAATAGGAAAGTATCAAGTATTGTTATCTGCTTGCTTATATCTTTAACATAATGCCAAGAAATAAATACTTTGAATAATTATCAGTTTCTGCCCTGGTATCAGATATAGGATACTTGTAAGTTTGGGATAATTACTTTTGACTTCCACCTTTTTCTACGTTCTGGTCGTTACTGTTCCATTAACATATACTTTCAGTTCTGGACAGGCATCAGACCTTACCCAGACGTTTATTTAAACAACATTTTTAAACCTCAGTGGCAAGGGTGATGGTGATAGAGCCAGTCCAGCTTCATCAGCTGAAATTATAAATTTAGAACACAGTTATGTTCATGACCAAGCAGTGTCATTTAATTCCGTAATTTCCAATGTTCTACTCTTCTTCACCACTGCATAGTACTCTGCTCTGTCAACCCCAAAAGGGCCACACTTTTGAGCATACTGCCTTAGCAGTAGCATGAGAGACTAATAACAACCGGAAGGAGAGAGGCCTGTATCTGAAGCTCACATTGTGTTCTGGGATTTTGAATTTTTTACGGAGCCCGTGTGGGACCCCATTACATGTATGTTGTTGTATAAACCTTTGACTTCACTGGTCATCAGGAGTGGGATGTCACCCCAACAGTCTTCATGCTTAGTTAGGCAAGTTATAGTCCTTTAAAAAGTTTTATAATTTGGAGTTATTTAGAAATTGTATCTCATTTCCTCATAATAGAACCTAATAACCAACTTTTTGTAGAAATTGCTAGAAGTGTTTAATCAACTATTAGTGATATTCATATTAACTATAAAGTGCTTGTAAGTTAAATTAGTCAACATGACATAGAAACCGATCTTCACATTGAATGTAATGTCCTACAATGTCAAGTTAAATTTATCTTCTCTGTGCTTCCTGTCTTATTTTTACTGTGACAAGTTAGAAAGGAACACTCGTTAAGCTCTTAAATTAGTAGGTGCTTACTTGGATAAAAGCAGCACTCCTAAAGACTCTTTTGATGTAATAATCTGAGAATTTCTCTATACTGGCAGAATGGCTCAAGTGATAGAGCACCTGCCTGGTAAGCACAAGGCCTGGAGTTCAAACCCAGTACCACCAAAAAAAAAAAAAAAAAAAGAATGAAAGAAAAATGCATCAAAATCAGCAATAAGCACACTGCAGTACCTCTGTCCCATTATATGCAATGCATTCTGATGTTTTCATTGTTTTTTAAAATATGCCAGTTGTAGCCCACTAACTTGGTTTCATAACCTACAAAGGGCATTTAATGTTTATCAAATGCACTGTTTGCCAAGTGCCTCAATAGACACTTAACAGAGAAAATTAGATAATTTGCAGAGGGCTATTCCCCAACAAAGGGGTGAGGCTAAAATGTGAGTAGGTCTGTGAAACTAAAAACCACACTACTTGTGCTGAGCCATGCTGTCTCTACACAAAAGTGAAGTGGCTCATCTGTTCTGCCTCCCTCCGCTGCCCACACATCGTGTAAGGCAGGCTTGGAATTGCACATGCCATTTGGTCCTGTTTCTTCTCAATCTTCCAATTCCTCACAAAGCATCCAGCACTCAGAGTTTTTAAAGGTGGCTGTTATAGTGAGATGTGGTGCCGAATTTGGTCCTTGGACTGTAAATTTCAAGAGTTCCCATCCTGCTCACAGCCCTACACATTATTTTATATTCATAACTCATTATCATTGTTTAGTGCTTTTTATATAGTGTAAAATTAAGCTTTTCAAAAAAAGGGCTGAGAGCAAGGCTCAAGTGGTAGAACACCTGTCTAGCAAGTGAAGTCTTGGGGTTCAAACCCCAGTACTGCCAAAAAAAAAAAGGAAAAAAAGAAACTTTAACACTTAAAAAATGATCATTACTCAGAATCAATTGCTTACCCTTGAAAATGACGCCCTTGGGAAGCCATGTGGTAATGCTAGTCTTACTCTAGTATTACTTAGGCCATTTTCAAAATTTCTTTTGGAATTGCCTCCAAAGACATGCTGCAAATCAAATAAGCCATGTCCATTTGTGTTGTCACAGACCACACTCCCTTGTCCTTGTGATCACTCTTGTCTTTCTCTGTTCTGCTTGTCTTATGCTGGCCTAGCTCTCCTGTTCATATCCACAGGGGCCCGTGACCTAGGGTGGCCAGAAAGGTGGTGCTGGTGCCGCTTCAAGCTAGCTGTGGTCCTGGAGCAAGGGCTCTGAGATTACACCAAACCCCATGCTGCACAGGGAGGCTCTACAGTCCACCACCTCCCTCTCAGGGCTGCCTGTCTGCCTGTAAGTGACCAACTGTTTGCATGAGTAATATCACTCACAAGAACCCGAGGAAACCTGGAGTATAAATCAGCATACATCTTCCTCCTGTGAAAGTGCAGACACCAAACCATTCTTTGTGTAACTTTAGAAATGAAAGGTGTGACCGGGTGCTGGTGACTCACTCCTGTAATCCTAGCTACTCACAAGGATCACGGTTTGAAGCAAGCCTGGGCAAATAGTTCCATGAGACCTTATCTCAAAAAAAACCATTCAACTGGTGGAATGGCTCAAGGTGAAGGCCCTGAGTTCTAGCTCCAGTACCGCCCCCCAAAAAAAAGAAAGGTGTGTCTCAGGGTCCCAGCTCCCCTTCATTGCTGCCACTGGATCTTTGGGAGGACAAAGAAAAGCCTTCGGAAAAGGTTTTCCTGTGACGTGAGATGTTTTCTCATCAATAAGAATGTGATTGTGGTTCTCAGGCACTTATGAGTGTTAGATGGCATTCTTAAATTATCAGAGGCCTAGTGAAAGGGAGGGTGCCTCCCCTTTGGCCTAGGTTAATGTACAACGTTCAGGTTCTGTTTGTGGTTTTTATTCTAGCAAGTGGTTCTATTTGAATCCATTAATTTGACACCCTTTTGCAGAGAAATTTCTAGGGTATTATAAATAATCAATGATTGAAGATCCACATAATATCTACATTACTACCCTCAAAGAAATTAGTTTATGGTGACAAAATACATTATGCAATATTAATGAAACAGGTAAATTGAAATAAAAAGTGTCAAAGACAAATGAGTTGCCCAGGATCACTAAGCTAGTTTGCACAAGATCTAGGATTATACCCACGGCAAGATCTAGAGGGAAAAAAATCCGTGAAGTAATTTCAGTTTTTGTTAGGCCTTCTCAAGTTGCTGAGGCTTGGAGTCTTTCAGCCTAGCTTCAACATTCCAAATCAGGCAAAAAATATATATATATTTTTTCCACTAGAAGAAATTGCATTCAATTTCTTAACCTTCAAAACATCAGTCTTGTCCCCTGTGCAGCTGATAGCCAAAGCCTCTGGATCCTTCTCCAACAGTGTCAGCGCTCCAGCCTTGAGTGGACCATGTCCAGCCTCTGTGAGAAACCTCACTAACAATTGAGAAAGATATTCAATAGAATTCTTTTTTCATACACTTCTTGAGTATTCTAGATTTTCTTCTTTTAAAGTTAACTACTAAGATGTTTTACTTAAGTTTCGTTAATTAAATGCCCTAAAGGTATTTTCCACTTACTGTTAAATCTTCAGTGTCATCAAAGGTCAGCAGAAGAAAAGGCTCCATGCTGAGAATTTTGTAAACTCTAATGCTTGCAGAATTCATTTGTCATCTATTCTGTTGCCGAGTGGTGCTTGAATAAGGAAACACTGCAATAAAATTCACTTGCTTAACACATATGTAACTGAATTCCTGTTTGTGTTGAGTGCTAGGGTCATCCCTATAGAATCTATCCTCACTAGCCATGCAGTTACCTAAAGCAAGTAAGTCACAACAAACCATGGGAAGTACACTAAAACAGTGTAGAGAGTGATCATTATGCTAGTCGCCTGTACAGAGGCACACTCTAGAGGTAAGTACACTGTCAGCTAAGTAACCACCCAAGGTCAGCTAGTTATGTAGCTTGTGGCTGGACTCATGTGCAGTAGATATAATTAGGTTGGACGCCAATTTGGTCTATATTGGAATAAAACTGCTGTATTGAGCAGCTTGGCGGTAGAGGCTGGCTGGCTGGCTGGTGGCCGCAATGGATAATAAACCATATAAACCTCCCTCCTGGCTCTCTTTGAACTTCAGTTTGCACAGCTCAAAGGATCTACCTGCTCGGAACAGGGTGTTTGACCCACAATTGGCCTAGTGCAGCAGGATTCGCAGCAACCCCATCTGGAGTCATAGACACCCCTGCGGATGAAGGGTTGCAGGAGGGGTGGCAATGGCAAGCTTGCTAGCAGCATGGGCCCCACCCCAGGCATGGCCACCCACCTGCCTGCTGGAGGAGACACCTACCTTAGTGGTGAGATGCTAGAGGAAAGCAAAATACCAAAACAGCCCCTGATATGGTGGTCTAGATGTTTCTTACAGAGTTAAGAAATGCTACAGAGAAGACTCCAGGACAAGAAGATGCCTTGGAACTGCGGATCCAGGCTCGGTAGGTTTGCCAGCACCCCAGCAATGTCTGATAAGAGGAAATGCCTGAAGTCACATTCTGTGCCTAGCCGGTAGTAATTCAAAAAATGAAGCAGCAGTAGCCGAAGGTGCTGGGGGTCAGGTGAATGACAGAATTTACAACTTACCTCCCCTACACATAGGTGAAGTTAATGGAGTTGGATAAACAGTTCTGGCAAAGGACTGGAGAGCCATTGGCAGCATGGTTGCTATGCTTGTGGGATGCAGGGGTGGATAGAAGGATGCTTTCGGCTCAGGAGATATTTGCAGCTAGCCTTGAGACAGAGGCTACTGAAGAGTTCTCAGTCTGGGCAAGGGAACTATTCTGTTAAGTTGGGTTATGGCTGCTTCCTGGACTGGGAACATACAGGAGATTTACCTGAGGTCCTTAAGTAAATGGCAGTCATACATGCACCTGATCCAGATACGCAAGAAGTGAGTATATGATGGCTATGCTCAGTCAGCGTACCATGGACCAGGTGATGAAAATGTACAGTCGTGTAACTCCTGGATGGCAATGATCGCACCCCGTGTGGGGAGGAGCCGCACGTGAGCAACAATGAGGGTGAGGGTAAGGCAAATGCCATGGTGGGGAGACAAGCCTCACCCCCAGGGCCTGACCAAACCCAAGGTAGGGAGGAACAAACAGGTGTTTCAACCCTCCTCACCTCACCTCGCTGCTTCTCCCCACAGCCAGACAAACTATGATCCTGGGAGTTTCAAGGCCGTCAGTGTATGAGGTAGACAGTAATGGTGAAGGCCAGCTATACTACTGCAGATGTCAGAGGCTTGACAGCAAAGGCAGAGCCCAGAGCAGAGGCGCTCAGCAAGGGTTTGCCTGGGAACAGGACTGAAACGCTGAGAAGGCTGAGGAGGGGATCTTAGCAGGCCATGTGTCTCGGGGCTTCGCAGCCCCCCACTGAAGCAGATGCTGTACGGTGTCTGGGACAACTGCTTTTGCCTCAGTGCTCTGGATGGTCCACTGAGGGAGAAAATTCCAGGGGGGAACCAGGCAGATGTGGACAAGAATGGGGCATTGGAGTCCCTGTTCACCCACGGAAACATGTCAGCTGGGCTGTAGAGAAAGCAACAGTGGGCAGGGACTAACCACATAGTGACAACAGAGACAAAACAAAGTGGAGCAGAGGATGCAGCAGCCGCAACCGCAGAAGCAATACAGTCACAACGGCAGGGGCAAGCACTGAAGAGCTACATCCAGAAAGTCAAGAGCAGTTCACCTTTCTTAACAATGGACTTTGTGTTGCATTAGAGCTGTTGGCATAACCCGACCTTTTGTAATGGGTGATGATGGCTGTCATTGGTGGAAGCCTTCTACCCACTGTGTAGTTCTCTTGCAGATTTGGAGAATGCGAGAGCATTTGAAGTAATGCAGATGGAAGATCAATGACAAGAAGTTGCAAAGGCCTGACTTGTCAGTCAAGTTCTTGAGGGTTATCCAATTGGGTAAGCTTGAAGTGATTCCTGGTGCCTTCGCAGATAAGGTTCAGGCTTAACCTGTGCCCACAGCAGTTAAACTGCATAGGTCCAACCTTTTAACTGTTTATGTACATGGGACCCTTAGGGGGATGAATGGGACCTGTGGCCAGATAGTTTTGGGGCTCTTGGGCGATTGGCAGGCCTTTATACCCATCTGGCA